AAAAATTAAAAAAAAATGTATACAAATTTAAAAAAATAAAACGTCAAAAATCACCCCCAACTATTATGCGCTACAAAATATTCAACGAAACATTGGAAACAACGATACAAATTCTATGATTCACTTGCCTTGTACTGAACAACGCAAACACATATTGTGATATAACACCCCAACACACAAAAAAAATACATAAAAATGTGCTTAACCGTTACAAAATAACCAATTGTGCAACAAAAAAACAAAATTTTTTAATTCATGTGCTTCCTTTTATCTGTTACTTGTACACTTTTCGGCATTTGAATAACAACAACATGTATTATAAAATATAAAAAAAAAAAAAAACAAATGTGCCACAAATGTGAAACACCTGCCGCGTCATACAACGAAACTATCAAACCTACAACAAAACCAAATCTAACGCTCGTATACCAACTACAAACATCGTACATCCCGAAACTCCAACTGCACTTCCATGCATCCAACACTTATCTGCTCATCATCTCCGGCTTCCTTGTCTCACTGCATTTGCTGCATTTTTTTTTATTTTTTTATTTTTTTTTTTTTTTGTTTGGCGCGCCACTCTTCGCTCGTTGCTTGGTCTACACGCTTCGTGCGGTATTCTATCGCTCATTCGCGCACCTCTTACACAGTCCCGCCGGATATCCTCGATTATCCCACCAGCACGGATATGGTTGTGCGCGAGGATAGTAATGTGACGCTCAAATGTGCGGCAACGGGCTCACCAGAGCCGACAATTACATGGCGACGTGAAAATGGAGTACCCATTGAATTGGCCAACGGCTCTGAGGGTAAGTACCACCCAATTCATGCTCTCTATATACACACATACATACTTGTATGTACGTTGTTAAATGTGTGTGCATATGCATATATGTATATGTGTGTAATTTGCTTGGGCAGTAGGGGTGAATGACTGTATGACTGAGTGGGTGGGTTTTTTTTCGTTGAAATATTGCAAGGTTCATGTGGTTTCAATTGCCCACGTGTAGACGAATGCAGTAAAGCTTGCTAGGAAATGTATGAAGGGTGTGCCTATTAGGCTTGTGGATTTTATAAAGTTTTTAGTAACTAGTCTTCAGCAACTTCCTTTAATTTTTGTTTAAATTATGTCTTGGAGGATTATTATTATAACTCTACCTCTTTTCTTCTTATTCCCTTTCTTACTTTGCAATAATTACGGGAATTTTTTAATCGTGCTGAAAGATTTTACAAGATGGTTCTGATTTTCAAGCAAATGTTCGTAGTTAGAATAATAAAAAAACAAACTTAGAGTATATCATATTAAAATAAAATCCCGAGTACCTTCAGTACAATGACATTACTACTAATACGGTATATAGTATGTTGTCATATTATATAAGCAGAAATGTAAGATTCATGTGTGTCCTAAAGGATTAAAATTTAAAACAGACACGACAACTGTAGTTTGTTAGTGTAGAGAAATTCACGAATAACGCTTTCAGTCAGCATTCATCAGAAAGTATTTACCACGTGACCTTCTCCTTGAGCTCACTAAAATTKCAAACAAATTATCAAAGAAATTTTCTTTCTCTTGTAATATGTCTGCGTATTGATACCAGTGTTCTATGACTCTGGTGGTTCAACCTGAGTAATACGTGTAGTTCAGGTGTTTGAYATTGACCGCCCTTATACTTAAAACAGAAACTCTACCGGGACTCGAAACTACATTTGTGACAAATCCACATAATCTCAACGTTACTGGATAACTGCTTCACCAATCATTTTTTCTAATGTGGTCTAACGCTTGGGGTAAGTGTTCTTGTAAAACTTGTCCATCCTTCTTATGGTATTGCATACCATCTAGATTAACAGATTTGCCKATATTACAGTTTATGGGAATATCAGGTATTTTTCGCTTATTTTCTTATTTCGTTGACCGCTCCGATATCTGACAGCATAACATCGTACGAATCTRTTTRGTACTTTCAGCTACGRATCTAGTTGGATTTATTGACAATTWMATCAGTAAATTTTGCTACAATTTGTRACTGTGGTATACTAGCATTATTTGYCMATTCAATATCCCCCCTATGAATCCGTGACTGAGTTAAAGGTTTTAGTGAAAGAATAATTAATATCAATGGGAATATTAGTCAAAACTACCTCAGCGCTGATCATATAAAGGAGGACCTTTYGGAAGTGTGGTTTTCAATGAGGTAATTTCTTTTTTTTTCTGAATAGGTTTCTGACAGGTGTTATTTCATTTATACTCAGWTTGGTTTGCTATTTCATRATGAATAGACWWGTAGCGGGTCGCACTTTCGGTAAAAGGACCCAAAATGGGTTGAGCGCTAAAAAAAACCAAAGCAATTAACCTCAATATTGGTTGAATTTGGTATGATRATAAACTATTAGACATTGTTAGGTGCCTTTAGATTCTCAAAAAGTCACTGTTTAATATAATCAATTCCTTCCAAATGAAGTCGGTCATGATGTTACAGCCAATGGGAAACACTATAGTGCCATGGTTAATAACATTTTATTAAATTTTTCTGTCCGGTGTGGCCTCCTAGATTGTGGGACTTAACATTACACTTAGACAATTTTTTGTGTGGTGTAGAAATAGCTCGGCTACGTTTGAAAATTGGATCTCTCGGCAGTCAGTCAGTTGACCGAAATATCCTTAAAACGGTACTCCTTATCTTTATAATAAAGCTATATTATTGGCCATAAAATCAAATCGAAACCGAGATAATTCAACAATACTCACACAGTAAAGATAAACCAGCAAATGAAACGAACCAGTCTTTATTTTCGATGTATCACTAGTTAGAGGAGTGCATCGTATGTAGTATTTAGGAATCTTATCGTACTTGGACCGATTAAGGGGGGAGCGTGCTTTAGAGGCTTAAATTTTTTTTTTTTTTTTGTTTTTTTTTTTTTTTTTTTTGTTTTTTTTTTTTTTTTTTTTTTTTTTTAATTAAGAAAAATTTTTAAAACCAAACGCTCATATATATGTAGCAGATATGTATATAGATAGCTCGGTCACTATTTATCTTCTAGTTTCAACA